AAGGTAATGTGAGGTGAATCACCATTAAGCGATAGTTTGACTCAAGTTGCAAATTGACTATTCTGCTCCACCAATAGGGAGCATGTTAAGGGGCGTGGCCTAGCTCTTTGATTGGCCAGATTATAACTATGAGGTAAACAGTAGAAAAATAGTAAATAATGAGAGCTGAAACAATCTGACACTAATAAGTCATACGAAATGCGTTAGTTACACAAAAATTAGTGAATCGATGTTTTTTTGATCCACCAATAAGGAGCATGCTAAGGGGCGTGGCCTAGCTCTCTGAATGGTCAAAGTACACCTACGAGGGAAAACAAAACAAAAACATCGGCCAATGTGAACTGAATCAAGGGAATAGTTTTCGCCATACTCACCCATCTCCTCGTATTTGCGTTACATCTTCTAGGGTCTCAATCTTTCTTGTTTCTCTGTTAGGTGAAAACAATCCACAAGATCGAGCAATGTTTTCAGCAGTTTCTAGCTTGTCTCCAGTCAGGACCCACACCTGTAAATCTTGATTAAGGTCGAATAAAAGAGAAAAATCTTTTTACCTGTATACCCGCACTGCGCATTGCAATTATCGTTTCTTCAACGCCATCCTAGAATATATAACAATTAAAAAACCATCCAAAGCATGTTGGGTGGAAAACTCGTCCACAAAGTGGGCGGAGCTTACCTGCAATCGATCCTCGATTCCGGTCACTCCCAGCAGTTCCAGATCTTTTTCAATCTCATCAGCTTTTTGTGAGAGCAGCTCATCACGATCATTTGATGTTACACTCATAGCCTGTAAGTTCATCATCCAGATATCCAAGCCACGCCCATATTGGACGAGTTGTCCACTACGATTGTGACGTACAAATCGATAGCTCTCCATAAACTCGTCCCATTCCTCGTGATTTAGCAATCGCATACCAAACGCCAGAGTACGAAGACCTCTACAAGAATACTCGTCCAAGCGTTCCTTCAGTTTTGAGCAATGAATGGATTCTTCTTCCGTAGGACGGCGTAGCCTAAACAATTTCTGGATTTTTTGCCCCTCCCTTTTCTAGGCAAAAAAAA